CCCCGTTCTTTCTCTTCCCTCCCTGCCTGTCGCTGCCTGTAGCCCCACACAGAACATGTTTCAGAACGAGAGGTTAACTCCCAGGAATTTCTCTTATTGCCAATTCGCATTGTGGGCGTCCGGATGGAATGTCGTGAGAGACACTCCGGAGGGAAAACAAAGCGCAGCTTGACGCCGTTAACGCCAGCGAAAGATCTCGTGCCTCCAGAAAGACATTAACACACCAAGGTACAGAAAGGGACGTAAACAATTTCTAAGCCCTCCCTTACAGTTGTTAGGTAGCACACTTCCAAACATGTGCTGTTCTTGATCAAAAATATTTTATGAATGAATCAACCCGCAGTGTGCATAACTCCATCACAAATATTTCATCATATAAACGTATCCAGGAATTTCACAGTATGGACGCAGGCTAAATTTCGCCTTTGCCTTCTTTGGCCCGACTTCAAAATTTCCCTGCTGCGACCCAGGACGAAGTTCCCTGCCATTTCCCTGACTTCCACTCCCTCTATTTGTTTCCCTGACTTCCCTCCCGGCAGAGAACCTAAATAATGTTGTTACGCAAACGATGGTGCGCCAAGCGCCACTGCAGGTTGTGTTCCCCTGTTACGTAAAATAACTTGTATAACATTAAAACATACAGTTAAACAACGAACGTGAACGAATTTTGAATAATGTCACAGTCTAATTAATATTCAGTAACATTCGCAAAATAAGAGAGCGAGCCCGAAGGGAAGGCAGGGTTTCCAACATTTCGACTTTCCGCATGATATTCTGGAACAAAATTTTGGAAATAGCCATCACTTTTCAGCATTTAATGAAGTCCTTAAGACCTTAAACGGCAGAAAAGAACACCCAAAATTTATGCGCAACTAGAATCCGTGAATTTCGAGGACCATCCGAGCCGAGCCCATTTCCCTGACCTCTTTGTTTCCATGACTTTCCATGACTTTTCATATTTTTCAGAGTTTTAAGAACCCTTTGGCAGGGGAGGACAGGGGGCTGGTGGGGGATGTTGGGGGCTGTTGGCGGTGGTAAGGCGGGGAGGGGGGAGGGGTGCGCCCCCGTGTTGCGCGTTGGTCCAGGCCTGCTGCTGTGACGCAACTCCCCACGTGTCGGCGGCACGTGACGCGGCCCGAGCGCAACACGATGTGCCTCTCGCCCACCTCAGTCGTCGTTGTTGTTATCGAGAGGCAGGAATAGTTGCAAGATTGAAAAAAAAAAAGGAACTCAACCCACGCCAACTTGCTCTTTTGCTGCTTCGCTCGCTTATTGCATCCAAACGGCGGCGCCACCACCGTTCGTTTGTTGCACGCCTACTCCAACTAACGTAACAGGAGTAATCAAAAGAGATTGAATGGCCCGGAGAGAAAGACAGAGAGGGAGAAAGAGATAGAGGGGGGGGGGAGGGAGAGGGAGGGAGGGAGATAGAGAGAGAGATGGAAGGGGGGCGCAGCGGGAGCAGAAGCCGCGAGGAGGATGTTAGCCGGGATGTTCTCATTGCTTTTTTCACCCACCTCCCGACACTTTTTATTTTTTTCTTGGTACTTTTTGTTGTTCTCTTGTCGGTTCCCAAGTCTTGCCCCCCCCCGATTGCGTTTGAAACACTGCCGCGTTTGTTTGTTTTTCGAACAAAGCAGATTGTTCTTTCTTTCCTTCAAACATTTTTCGCGGCGCTTATTGGC